TTGATTAATTGACATTTAACAAATACAAGAGAATCTCTTGTAGTAAGATCAAACATGTTCAAAATTGATTTAATGAGATGAAGATATAATTGCAAAATAAAAGATGAAGACAACTTTTGATATAGTTCTGACCAATAAGTTGAATCTGGATAACATTCATTAATATTTTGCTTCAAGCAACTTGACTTTTTAAATCCATTGATCAAAATTTCATTGTCGTATTTCATAGTCAATTTCAAATTTTGAAACTGATCATCATAAACATTTTGTTCAACTCTACTCGGAGACAAAGTCCCTCTAACTCGGTTTTCAGAATTCGGAGACAGAGTCCCACTATCAACACTGATGCAAAATAAATCTAGTAAATATGACTTTACATACAATAAAGAATATAGAACTGACTTGACAGGAGATAGAACCTGTAAAGGAATATCAACATGAGAATAAACTTGTAGAAATGACTTGATATGAGATAAATCTTGTTGAAGACTATGAGAGTATTCTTGTTGGAGAATACCACCTAGACCAATTGATTCTAAAGCTAAATATGAGCTTGAATGCATTTAAAAAATAATGATTAGACGTATGTGAGACAATGAAATTAATTTTTTGGTGTTTTTCTAAAACTAAGCTTTAGCAAGAGAAATTGAAATATTCTGATATGGAAACTCACCTGAATAGTCAGAAACAATGTTTTTCTGATCAGAAGCATCAGAAAAAGTAGTATCTAAAAGAAAGTAAAAAGATTGATCAGCAAATCTCTCAAAAAGAGCAAAATTAAGCTAGAATACTGAAAAGAGCTGAAATCATACCTTCTGACAGGCCAGTAGAGTAGGAATATGCAGGATCTAATTGAGAAACATCATACTTGAGTCAGAAAACATCTGAAAGACAGTGAAAAAACAACTTACAGGCCTGATCAGCTTGATTTTGATAAAGATCAACAGAGTTTGAGATTTTCTGGAGCATTCCTGATCCTGATAGAGTAGGAGATGATACCAGAAGATAGAGGAGAGTGGCCTGAAGCCATAGCAAAAAGAACTGGAGGGATAGCTGCATTGGTTGTGGAGAAAAGAGGAAAACAAGATTGAGGGAAAGTGATGAGCTGGCAAGCCCAAGTTGAGGGCAGGCTGTCTTGAGATGCTGAATAAGCAGACTAATCTAATCTAATCTGGCACCAGAAATTCATTTTTGAGGGAATTTCAAGTCTGGAGTGTGGACATGTGATCCATAGGAACAAACTGCCATATAAGGCAAAAATATAAAAGATGGAGAATGTCTTGGCAAGCCTATATGTGGTCTCATCATGTGACTAGCTTTATTCTTCATTGAGAAAAATGCAAAATAAAAAACAAAAAGGACACTTTTTAGTGAAATTTTGACAGTAAATCATTAATATCTCCATGAGAAATGAAGCTAATCACATGATCTAAAAAGATTCGGGAAGCCCCAAAGAATCTCTATCTTTTTGATCAAAATTTCCTTTTTTGGAAGGTTTTTGCCACAGTGTTGAAGAGTGAATCAATGAATGAAAATTCTGTCTAAGTCCTGGGCTGATAAAGAATGAGTCCTTTAAAAAGGCCTCATAACATGTTACGTTAGGAAGGCAAAGTGGATTGAGCAATATCTGAGCATCTGCAAGTAATTTGAGCTGTTTTATGGGTTTCAAAAGGCCACAAACTGTACAGCCTGCTTCAATAAATTTCTCTGGGCTGGTGTCAGCCACAAAGTCTGAAATGATGTGCTGCATCAAGGTATGTGAAGGAGGAGGAGGAGGAAATGAACCATGATCTCTATTTATACATTGTGGCTTCTCAGTTTTTAAAATATTCTTCTTCTTTCTGTCATGATAGTTCTGCTGGTGTTGGCTATTAGAGCAATCAGATGTTGATTTCCAAACTGAAACCAAGTCAAAACATTGCAGACCGCAGGTATGTTGTTCAATCTGCTTAAGAAATTCTGATCGCTTGTACTTTGGATCACCTTGTATGTTATGGAGTTGAGCAATATTTTTGAGTTGATCTAAATTGAGAAAAGATGAGATGAGTTGGAGAGGAATCCAGCAAATTAATGTACTGTCATCGGACGCTATTGATGTATGGTCTTTATAAGGTGTTTGAGTCACAAATGTGAATTTAGCACTAAAAGAAAACCTAGATAAGTGATCCTTAGAAAGTGCATAATTTTGAAGATTCTGGAGTGAAGCATACTTAATTCCTCCTGTACATTGATCAGGAACAGCTAAGCATTCAAATTCAGCTTCATGAAAGCAGAATTTATTCTGTTGAATCTGTATATAGTTTAGCACATATACGATAGATGGTAAACAAGAAGAAAAAGGTGCAATATAGCAGAATGAATGTGCTGGAATCCTGGAAAGCACTGGCCAGTAAATGGTGGCTATAGCAGTATAGCAGTGCTTTAATGTGATGTGTCAAAGAAATAGAAGGTAGATGCGATAGCAAAGTTGCTCTGGAGTGCTCCATAATGAAGAAGTAGAAGATATGGCCATAGATCTTTTTTTTTTTATTTTTTTTTTATCAACAATTTATATAGCGGTGCTCGATAGCAGCCCACTCACTATCTACAAACACACATGCTGCACAACCTGGATACTAGGTTAACTACTAAAAGATGACCGCACCCCTAACCAAGACTCTTTGGGCTCAAACGCCTAAACTCCCCAGGGGGCAACCCACCTTGCGAAAACGGTGCATCAGGATAAGGGGAGGAAACCATTGAGGTTCCGCTATGCCCCAAAGTCATCAATCGCTGTTCAGAGGCCACGCAGCGCAGATGAGATAAAACAGCACCACCCAGGAAGTGGCAGAGTATCTTGAGGCCAACAAGCCAGAGAAGCACCTGCCCGAAACGAGACACAGAAAGTTAGCAACACTGCAACCCACTATAATAGCAGGCTGCAAGCGTGAAGAAGTAGTTGTGGGCACAGGTCTCCAAGCCCTAAGGTTCGAGGGTGTCAATTCACTGATAAATCCCCCAAAAGGAGGAATAACCCCACCCACAGCAATTATCCAACAGCTGAGGGGTCCCAGTTGAAGCCAAATGCTGTAGGGTTGTGCTTCAGAAACGATGCAATATCCCTGAGAAAACAGGGATAGTGTACAGAGTATTGATCACGACAGCGAAAGAGGACATGCTGGCGAGACTGCAAAGCAGCCCTGCAAGTGCAGCCATGAGGCTCATTGATCTTGAAGCAACGGTAGTACGCTCCAATGGGCGCATGGCCAGTTATGCACCAGCAGACACGAGCGAACTCAGTAATACTGTGTCTGAATGTTGAAAGCCAAGGTCCTCCATTAAGGTAGAATGGCTGTATCGGCCACCCGTCAGGCCGTTGAAGCTCTAAGAATTCAGAGCCCTGGTAGGTTGGATCCTGGAAAGTGGAACTCCATGAGTCCAGGACTGAGTGCACAGCTTGAGAGCATAGCGCATCTATAGAGTTGTCCATCTTGCGATGTCCAACCCTGACTTTAAGTTTGGTGATGTATTTGTGAGCCTCACCATGGATATCCCACCACAAGGCAGATGGAACATAGACAAAGCTGATGCAGCGGAGATCATCCCTTGAACCACTCTTGGAGAGCATGACAGACTGACAGACTGAGAGCCTGGCCAGAGTGAACAGAAGGGTCCACCGCTCTGTGGGCTGAGCCCATAGAGTCAGTAACACCTGTTGCTGTCAGCTGATATATCAATTATTGGTAGTTGCCCAATATGAGGGATGCATCAGGGAGGGCAGTTCCCCAGGCCTTAAAACACCAGTATTATAGGCCTGTTTTGCTATAGGTGTGACAGCTTGGGCAATTGCCCAATTTCCTTTTTGGGAATTTTTTTATGCAGGGTCATAGATCATGTTGAGGTGATCCTGCCAGTACTTGAATGACATCATCAGCATTAGTCGTTGTTGAGAAAAACACAAAAGAATTTCAAAACATCAGCGGTTTTGAAAATTTTTTTTGTGCAGGGTCATAGATCATGATCAGGTGATCCTAAAAGTACTTGAATGACATCAGCAGCATTAGTCATTGTTGAGAAAAATGTAAAACAAAGTTGATTTCCACAGTCATGTGACCTGTTATTTGAAGAAATATCAATAGCCTCTAGCAATTGTCTAATGCTTGATATAAAGAGACTTTAACAAATTTTTGCCAAAGTCCAATTCACAACATGTGACTCTGTGATGCCATCAGCATCCTTGATGGACTTATTGCATTTTCATCACACCAATGCTAGGCATAGCAGTCATATATTTACTATTTGTTTGCATTTGAGGCCAGAATATCAAAGTTTCAGAGGCCAAGCATGAAGAAAAAGGCAAGTTGAAAGTCACATGACTTGTTGATCTACTTGGCATCTGTCACATATCACAGTCCATAATGCCCCTCTACATTATTTCTATAGAGCAATTGCCTCTATTTTATAGGGCTGGGGAACTGCCCTCCCTGATGCATCGTCATTTTTGGGCAACTGCCTAGCTTTATACATCTCACTGACAGCACTGGCTGTCAGTAAAGACCATAATATGTTGGCAGTTTACCTGCTTGACAGCAAGGCACACCACACACGAAATGGCATTGAGTTCTGCATCAGGGGCGGTGACTCTGCCGGAGACATAGCAAGTCCTTTCGAGCTCACGATGTCTCTTGTAGATGATGGCAGTCGAAGCCACCTGATACTGGTTGGACTGAGGGACAGAGCCATCAGTTGCGGCCAGTACTGTTAGAGGGTCGGCCCTCGCTTTTGCGATGAGCTTGTCAAGGTATGGGAGCCTATCCTGGGCAGGATCGCGCTTGTCGAAATGGAGACGGTCCACAAAGCAGTCCAGTAGCTGATCACCGGGGCGAGCTTCAGGCGCAAAGGGCTTGAAGCTCTCAGTTAAGGTGTGGACACGCTCGTCCACCTCCATAACGGTGCTCTTAACTTTCCCTCGCATGGCTGGGGTCATCAAGACGGCAGAGCAGGTGTGGGGTTCAGCCCGTTTGAGGAGTCTCTTGCCCAACATGGAGAGGAGAGGGTGAGTGTCTGAGAGGGTGGCAACACGGTACACTGCATGCGTTGCCAGCTTCTTCAGCATGAGATAAACAGGGATGAGACCCATGAGGGCCTCAAGACCACCTGTAGGTGAGGTGCAGAAGGCACCTGTGATCCATAAAGCAGCTTTCTGCTGCATCCGTTTTAACTGGTTCATCGCGCCTTTGTTACAGGCGCCATTGAAATACCAGAGACAATAACCATATGTAGCAATGGGAACCACGCATGATCTATAGAGGAGGCATCGCTGTTTGGGCAACAGACCCCTGGTAGAGTTTCCAAGCATGCGCATGGCCTGCACGGTGGTGAATGCCTTGGTGGCATAGTAGTGGACGTGCTCATGGAAAGTGAGCCTGTGGTCGAAGTAGAATCCCAGGTACCTCCAATAGGTCTTGGGCTTCAAAGGTGTAGCGCCGGTATGCGGGGCATACCCCAGATCCAACAAAGGATTGTAAGTGTCTTGTCGATGTGAAAAGTGAAACAGCTTGGTCTTGTCGTGTTCAAGAACAAGTGTGAAAGCAACAAAGAGAAGGTAGATAATTTTGTAGGCCTTACGCAGGCCCACATTATTATCATCGAGTTGTTTAGACTGGGCCAAAATAGTCCCATCATCAACAAAGGAGAGTAGTGTCGTGTTGAGCAGCGCCGCTTTGATATAGAAGAGCTTCATTACTGGAGCAATGAAGAGCCCTGAGATAATGGGCGAGAGAGCTGAGCCCTGCCCGACACCCACGTCCGCAGACCGCAAGTTGGATTGGAAGGTGTTCCAACAGTAGACTGTGGAGCGCCCAACAAGGTAAGAAGCAAAGAAATCCACCAATATTGGCAAAAACCCTTGTTTGCGAAGGACAGCCATGAACATTTCATGGTTGATAGAAGGGAAGAACTGTGCGATGTCGAAAGCCAGCGTGCTAGTCTGGAGACCCTTAACCCACCCCGCATGCACAAGATGGATGAGAATCAATCCAGCATCCTCAGTGGACCTCTGGCGGATACCGCCAAGTTGGTTTGGATGAAAGATATCATGTTTGACGGCGTCAAACTGTATCCTATTCAGCAAATAATTCATATAATAGAAGGTACCCACTATTGTTAGCATTATTTGGTTTTCTCTTAGAAGTATTTTTTGGAACTTGAGTATCATTCTTCTTCTTTCTTTGAGCAATTCCCGGTTGTCCTTCCTCAATTTCTCTTCTCATTAAATCAAAGTCAACCTCGACTTGAGATGGCATGTACTTTGAATGCTTCTCCATGTAGTCAACCATCTTGAGCAATAGTGTTTTATGGTTTGAGTTCTTTCTGGGTGCTTCTAGCCAATGACGAGGAGAGATATCTTGTCCTTTATGCTTTACAGTAATTGAGGACATGAGTTTGACAGGATCAATGTCAAATTCTTCAAATGGAAGTTGTGTTCCAAAGTACCGCACTAAAAGATACATATTGTTGAAGAAAAAATTGACGAGTGATTGAGGCTCCATGATAACAGCTCCATCGATAGCATAATTTGCTGATTCAGAAACCAATGTGCCATCATATCCACTAAAATCTTTATAAATAATCTGCTCATCAAGTATTCAGAATAAGCTTACATATAGCCAGAAATTTCTGGTGGAATTGAAAAGTTCTGATTTTTTGTCCAATTTGCCAATGGAACCATGCTATTTCCATTTCCAAGCATTATAGATCATGGAGAATATGAGACCAAGGCAAATTGAAGAGCATCGTGTGCTACTTCCTCTCCTGGAGGTGCAATTGGAGGAGATCCACCATGTTGAGTGAGACCGCAGAAGTTCACAGCCATGTAAGCTAGAAAAATATAGAATACAAGGCAGTTTCCTAACTATGAATTTAAGCCCTGGAGGGCAATATGCTACCTTCCGCTTTGGGAAGGCTCTCCTAATAAGAGGGAGGGGTTGCCGGGTGCCCGGCATCTGCAAGGATGATGAGGAGGGGGTAAATAAATTAGTAATCATCCATTTCCAGGGTAGGCAGGTGGTGGGAGGGGCTGGAGGGGGTGGAATGGGGGTGGGATAGGCCAAGCAGGACCCCAGGGCACTGCAGAGAACTGGACATGTGACCTGTTTGCTCTGCAGCCTCAACTGGGGCCGTTTTTTGTGAAAAAAGTGCCCAGGGCCAATGTGATAGTATGTTACTGTATGTCATAAAAAAATCAGGAGAATCTGGGATGTGGAATGTTGCAAAATGGCGCATATGAGGTGTCACCTTAACTTGGTGCGCATTTATTTTTAGCACAAGCTGCTAAATTGGGATCTGGCATCAAAATAGCCATTGCTGGTGCATTTCAGGCTCGTTTGGCTTCCCCCTGGGTGGAAATTGATGGGAACAGTGATGCGATAATTTTTAGGTAACTCATAGCTACCTGTAGACACCCAGAACGTGGGAATACGACCATTTTTGGCGATGTTATGGCCTAAACTGTGCTTCTATGCACAAAAATGCGAAAATGCGCACCTAATGCTCTGCCTCTCATGCATCCCTGCCTCATAAAAACCAGCTGATAATTTAGTATGCTACTAGAGATTCAGAACGAGCCAATAATAATAGCCTTGCATGCATTATTGGTTATGCAATGGGCCTTTCGATGTTTATGTGCTAAAAAACCGAAAAAGCGCACTCAAATCTCTATGCCACACAGGTATCTATCCTTTTCAAACATTATGCGTTCAGATAGAGGTTATCAAGGGCTACAAAACGCGCTATTCAGCGTCTCCACGCGTTCATTTGTTCCAAAGATATACCCAAGACACTCCTCATCCCTCAATATCACAAAAAGCGAACTTCTGTATCTCCCCCAATTATTATCCAAGACCTGTAGAACTTTAGTCAGTCT